TACATATACATAAATATGTATTAGCTCTTGAATGTGATAAATGTATTGTGCATGCTTCTTTTCCATCATAATTACATAAGGTACATCATTTATCTGATAATGGTTATTATGATGTCATCAGTGATACAAAATGTCTTGTGTGTGACATAAAACACTCTACAAACTCAATTTTATATCAGTGGGGGATATGCAAGTCATTTAACCCTTTGAGGGTCGACAGGCCCTCTCAGAAACTCGTTCTCAGGGTCGGCCAAATTTTAAAAAAAAAAAAAAATTATTTTTTCTTATGAAAAGATAGAGAATCTTTTCCCGATCATAATGACACCAAAATTATGAGATTTGATGGAAAACTTACGGAATTATGCTCTCGCGAAGTTAGCGGTCTCGGCGATGTTTACGCATCGGCGATTTTGCCCAATTTGAGCCCCATTTTCGGCCAATTCCTCTGTACTAGTCGACAAACAACATGAATATTTCGCTAGAACTACATTTTTTATATTGAATGAGTGCAAGAAACCACCCATTTACCATTTTCAACTATCCAATACAGTGGTCAGAATTTAGCAATTTTGCCAATTTCACACAAATTTAAAAAAATGCCAATTTCCGAAGTGTCCAGAACAAACAAGAAATACATTCCTGGCACTAAAATGACATTTCTTCTGCTCATTAGTCACGTCTCAAGGCCCCTCTTACATTCTTTTGCTTTCCACTTTGAATTTTTATTCTCAAGAAAAATAGAAGATTTACTGTTATGCAGACTACTGCATTAGTGTAAAAAATGATATAAATCATATTGGCGCAATTGCAAAAGAATATTAGACTCACCAGTTGACGTGTATTGGACGCTTGGCATGATTTGTTTACTTTTGAACTTTGGTAAAAATCGAACATTTCTGCTACTTTGAGCTCAATTTCAAGGTACTTTTCATTGTAAAACCAGTAAAAATCATCTCAATTTCTGTGATATGCATTCCATTCTATAAAATGAGACCAAGAAAACTAGAATACAACAATAAATACCATACGAAAATACAGTGCAAAGACGCTGTTTCATGCCAAAAAAAACGTGAAAGTTTTTTTTTCTCATTATGCACTGTGTGCTGCAGGATTTTTTTATACTGTGCACACTGACCACATAGACCCATTCTTTCATATGGAGGCCTACCAGCCTCTTCCCGCGAAATTTGACGGCGCTAGAATTTATGCGTACTAGTACGTCAAAAACCCCTACGCGTAAGACGTACTAGTACAGTGGACCCCCGGTTAATGATATTTTTTCACTCCAGAAGTATGTTCAGGTGCCAGTACTGACCGAATTTGTTCCCATAAGAAATATTGTGAGTAGATTAGTCATTTCTGACCCCAAACATACACGTACAAACGCACTTACATAAATACACTTACATAATTGGTCGCATTCGGAGGTAATCGTTATGCGGGGGTCCACTGTATGACCAAAACCCTCAAAGGGTTAAATGAGATATTATGCAGCCCATCTTTAAAAGGTCATCCATTTTTCCATTTCTTACAATGCTCAATTTCTGAATCCATATCTAATTTCAGCAAAAAAATTCAGTTCTTCTATTTTAGGTAAACTTATCCTAAATTATATTTACATACAGGTAACCACCAAAAATCTGTATATACATATGCAGCTTTATTCTGGCAGTGTAAGAGATATTACTAACACTTTAAGAACATAAAGGCACAAAACCATGACTGGAACAAACACAAATAAGTCGCACATTTGTCACGTTTGTTCAACTTGGACCATTTACAAGTCACACAGTGATTTAAGTTGGAGGAAATATTGCATTACGAGTACCTGTACTGTGGTATCATATAATCGGTCAATACCAAGCTAGTGTACCATGGATAAACTTAATATTTCATTGTGACCTCCACTGAACATTTTACCTAAGTATGAAAAATTTTTTTTTTTGTCTCATATTTTAAAATATACATTTTAGCCAAAGAAAGTCAGGAAATATACAACAGTTTACTGATGATATCATAATAAATTTGCCAGGTATGTCACAGAGGTTGTATAGGTAAGGATGACAAGTATGCATAAAAATTGCACAAAATGAAGGTAAATCAATGGAGGTAAGGTAAATATGCTGCTCAACACTGGAAGCAGTGCAACTCTGATAAATGTCTGATTGCATGATTTTATAATTAACAGGTTTCATCTCAAAGCTTATTGTACAAATTATGTATATTTAAAAATGTTGTCAGTGTCTTCTATTTTACATATTCCTAATAAATATAAATTACAGTAGTTGTAGTGCTCTCTGTATCTTATATGTTGTCATGGGAGCTAAAACACACACAGTACTCAATTTTGTTTGTATACAAAATTCTAAACATACTATTGTGTATTACTAAACTATGGTTTTTAGTTTTGTTTAGTTTTAACTTTATGCAACTTTTGATGTTACAGTATGTATTACAGTTTTATGTATTACATAATTTTTTAGTTCTTTGCCTGTACTGAAAGCCAATAATTTATCAAATTTGAGCAATAGTATGTCCAGTACATTACTCACATATTTTTGCATTTAGTCAATCTAGTTGAAGACAAACATTCCTGACAACAGCATCTGCATAAAATTGTGTTAAGTAAATTGAAGAACATGCAAAGAAAAGAGTTATATGACTGACATTTCAAAAGAAAAAAATGATTTTTGAAAGCTTCTTATTTAATCAAAACTAATGTAGTTTGACACCCAACATGTAAATATCCTTGCCGTTAATTTAGCAATACGTGTTGTTACACAAATCCTAAATAAGAACTGTTACTGAATCTTTGAAGACCTGGGGGAAGCTGGTGTTTGACTCGGTATATCCTCGATTCCACACAGAAAAAAAGGTAAAACTAATATGCTGCCAGTGACCATTATAAATTTAATGCACAATCTTGCCAGTATAAATATGGACAAGAGAAGAATTTTATCCTATCTCCAATTCTTTGTTTGCCTTGCTTGTAGCTGTAAAAGTATTTGGCAATGGTTATGTAGCTCAGTTGAGCAGTGGATGGTTGCCCGTTTCCATAGCTGACACCACCCATACATTTCACTATACACTTTTATTTATAATAGTGACAAAGAAGAATCTATCCTACCCAGAATGCCTTGCATAATAAAGGGCTTTCTATCAAGTAAACCATACCTCAGGCAGGGCTTGAACTCGCGGTTATAAAACTCCAGACCAATGCCCATGGTATGGTTTGTTTGCAATTATGTCATTATGCTTTCTATAATTTATATGCAATAAGATCACAAAAAACAGGTGATATTACAATATGCAGAACAACCACTTTGAAAAAATAGTGAAATTCCAAGCGCTCTCGTGACTTCTCACATTATCACATTACATGAGAAGCCACGAAAGCGTTAGGAATTTCACTATTTTTTTTTGCAAAGTAGTTTATATATGTCAATCACCCTAATTGTGTAATATACTGTACTCCATTTTATAGAAATCTTAAATTCCCTATTATCCTGCTTGTTGATAAAGAAATGCGCATCTGGAGATGGTTATGCGACTACTGAGCAGTAGATGGCCAAGAGTCATCCACTGAGGTTAGGAGGGCCACTACAGGGGTTACAATACAGCATATGCTGTATCCAGTCAGAGGCAGCAACCAGCTCTCCCCAGACCATATAAATCTCCGAATTAAATCAGGAAACGGGTGGGATTTGAACCCATGGCAAGTGAGTCTCAAAACTCACAGGCCAGTACGTTATTATGATTTTGTGAGTCATAAATCTCTGAACTGAAAATTTTCATGCCTGAGTCACTCTAAAGAAAAAAAAATTATGGCATGCTACGTTAATTTAGGCCACAATTTTTCAACCATAATATCACAAAAACATGTTGATGAAGTGCATTTTATTGGAGGGTTTCCTTTATTTCCACTGTTAGGAAATATCACTATAGCATCCAGTCAGCAAGCTTAAATCAAAACATGATATGTTCACTACTGAATGCTAGTTACATTTTAGTTCAGTAGCAGTATATGTTTACAGACAATATATATGCTTACAAACAATGTATATCATTCATTGCAATATAATTTAGAATTCTACCTCTTCTCATGTACTGACACAGAGGTACAGTACGTACCAAAATGTTAGCATTTAGAAAAAAAAATTGTATACTGGCTTTTCTATTTCACTAGCACAAACAAGCCTTTTGTAATTTATTTTTAAAATTAACAATATGTAAGTACTTGAAAGTACAGTGGACCCCCGCATAACGATTACCTCCGAATGCGACCAATTATGTAAGTGTATTCATGTAAGTGCGTTTGTACGTGTATGTTTGGGGGTCTGAAATGGACTAATCTAATTCACAATATTCCTTATGGGAATAAATTCGGTCAGAACTGGCACCTGAACATACTTATGGAGTGAAAAATTATCGTTAACCGGGGGTCCACTGTATATAGTATGTAAAACAATCTCTGTCTATTATCTACTCTTTCAGCATCATCTTGTTACAAAGATCTACATTAACTGCATAATTTATACTACTATTTGAAGAAAATTTTTTTTTATTTAGTTATTGAAAGCATTTTATTAAATATAAAATAGAAAAGAAGATTACAAATGTGTTCAAGCAAAAAAAAAAAAAAAAATACAGAGGGCCCCACTTATACAGCAGGTCAGGTTCTGGGCTACCACAGTAGAGCAAAAATCACTGTCATATATTAAGCAAGCATTAGAGTTATGCTTAAAAAATGCATGTACAGTACACACATTACTTAAAATATTTTTGTCCTTTGCTTACAGTGAGTGGTGAATATATTTACTGTAAGAAGTCTGAATAAATGAAGAATGGGTAAAATTGAAAACCACCATATTAGCAAAATGCAATAAAGCAAAGTGCTGTAAAGTGGGGCCAGCTGGTATATAGAGTGAGATGAATTTCTCTCACTGTGACAGTTAACATTTGATAGCAAACTAATGTTATCTTTCCACCACTCCAAACAGAACTCTTCCATTGCCAATGCCAGCAAGAGTGTCCCAATGCTTCTGACACCTTCGCCAGTCTCCAACCTTGGTTCTCGGAGGCAATCGACATGTTCCATTGCCTCTCTCAGTGGTATAGAGTCCCGGCGATCCTCCACTGTTTCTATTGGCAATCCCTTGGGGTCAACTTACAAGTCACACCGTCGCCCTTCAGCTCTAATCTCCAACTCCTCAAGCGGTAACCTTCTGCAGCAGTTGTCTGCCGGCGTGGTGAGTACAGTGAGTATACCACCATACACACCTTCGTCAGCAGTGTTTTAGGGTGTTAGATGTCCGTTGGTCAGTTATAGCACACAGCTAGCCAGAGCAACTAGGTGATAGTGCACTACAATTGTAGAGTTCCAGACTCATTAGTGAGTGGCCCACTTGGTTGTAAGACTTTGCACATGTCTAAATGTTCCAGCTTCTTTGGTTAATAGTTAACCTGATATGAACAAGTGAATATAGTGTACATAATATGTCTGTTCAACACTAGTTAAATGGCCACCTTGCGTACAGTTTGGGAAAAAATCCTCCCTGGATATTTCCATTACACTAAATGTAAGTTTAAACACCACTACAATTTTCTCTATTTCAGTAGCCTTTGTGGTTAAGGCTAATTTAGTAATTATTTTGCCAAACTTATTATTTAGTTGCTCACCTAGATGCAAATTATTGCACAGTAGAGATACAGTACCACTGTGCACGCTGAGTCACTGGTATGAAACAGCTTGTGAGAACTATACCTCCTATACTAGGAATATAAATTGTATAGCTAAAACAATTAACTGTAAAATCTCTGATCTGGTACATATCAGTAGATGTAGACTGATGTTGTTTTAGTTTTTGGCTTCTCTGACTTAAGGATTGCTTGCTTGTCAACTGCCTCAGACTGCAGGATCTCTCTTGCTACTAATCCCAGGACATTAGCTCTTATTAAAACAATACTTGCCTTCTACTCTTACTCTAAACAGTGGTTCTCAAACTTTTCTAATTTTCCCCCAATCAAAAACTGAAAATCATGTTCATCTCATGATTCAAATGTTATGGGTATCTATTTAACACTGCAGTAAAATGATGGAAATTTTCAGAATAATTTTGGAGGACTTTCTAGAATATTGTAAAATATGCATTTTTTTTTCATTATTTTTGTTTTTAATTTTGATATGTTTTTTACATTTCTTGCTATTATTGAAAATTTGCATTTTTTTCATTTTGGAGGTACTATGGTTTATCTGCCACCTATCAGACAGCCTTTAACACCCAATTTTGGGTAGTGACCCTAGGTTTGGGAACCCCTGCTTTAGACACTAATAGCATTAAAACACTTGGCTTCTACTGTTATTCTGAAAAATACAAATAATTAAAGCACTTGGCTTCTACTGTTCCTCTAGACAGACACATCATAATTTGATAAATTGCAGAGGAATTAACTCTGTGGTAAAACTAAAACATGCTAGTTATTTAACATCAGAGACAAAATATATACTAGTTAGATTATTGGAACAATATTGTACACAGTGTGGCTAACTTGTCAGTTTCCCCTATATACTGCAATTCTAGTTCTTTACTAGTGAATTAATTAAACACTTATTGGCTGACGAAGGTCACTACCCTTAAGCAAATTGTTTCCTATAGTTTGTTGTTAGTTTATTTTATACACTATTAAGAATAAATTTTCTTTAACAAATTTATCTAAAAGCATTTTAACCAATAAATAGTTTTATAACAGTTTAATTTTCAGTAATATATAATTTTCTATAAAAAAATCTTTTAAATACTGTACTAAACTTACCTGACCCTTATTTTAATGAGCTTATATACAGAGCTAGTCATAATACAAACAAATAATATACAGTGTATGCATGTGTGTATATATGCATTTCTTTTTTTTAGGGGGTTTCCTTTTTTTAGGAGGTTACCCTACTTTAAATAAAAAACAAAAAGAGTAATAACAGTGAACTAATCATTAATGGACTAAAACGAAGGGTACGGTATTTCCAAACAATGATATCGATTTTTCATGATCATCCAGTTGTTTTCTGAATTAGTGGACTTGATCCACTGATGCGGAAGGCAACTGTACACCAAGAATACAGGTATTGAACCGGTAGTATACTACAGTTATGGTACTGTGCTGTATAGTAATTTTATAGTACTGTATGTAATTTATGGTAATTTTTACTTACCTTTAATGGTGGAGAGATGAGGTGTCAATTGCCATGATTGATAGCAGTGACTTTGAATAAATTTGATTCCAAGTCAGAGGAGCTGTAATGCTTCACCAGCATCTTCACTAAGCTTAGAGCATAGTATCGAAGTTTGTCCTCTTGGGAAACAGAGGCTGCAGACCTCATTCAAAGAGAAGAACCTGGGAATAAACATAGTGCCTAGCATATCACCAGAGGCTCACATCAACTGAATAACCTCTTCAGCCAATGCTCACCTGGCAAATCTGCGAGTGGCTTTCAGGAATTTCAACTGTCATTCCAGGTGCTTTATACAACATATGTCAGGCCCATCTTGGAGTATGCAGCACTAGTATGAAACCCACACCTGAGGAAGAATATTAAGAAAGTAGAGAAGTATGCAATAAGACTAGTTCCAGAGCTAAGGGGTATGAGCTATGAAGAAAAGTTAAAGGAATCAAATTTAATGACCCTAGAGGACAGAAGGACCAGGAGACATAATAACATATGAAATACTTAAGAGGAATTGCTAGAACAGCTGGGACAGGTTATTTAAAAGGCTGGAAACAGGTACTCGGGAACACAGGTGCAAGTTAAAGACAGATGAGTCATAGGGATATCAGGAAGTATTTCTTCGGTCTCAGGGTGGTCAGGAAGTGGAATGGCCTTGATGAAGAAGTGGCAGAGGCAGACTCCATACACAGTTTTAAGATTAGGCTACAAGAGAGTGAATCTGGAAAGCAGAAAGTTGAGAGGCAGGGCCAGGAGCTAAGACTCAACCCCTGCAGCTACATATAGACAAGTTTGCATGCACACACACACACTAAACATGTCAAATGTCTATCAGCAAGTGCCTTTTACAAATGGTAATTAACACACACACTGTATTAAAAGGTGTGATTACCTATCCTGTATTAGAGACAGGATTATTTATGCTGTATGAGACATGTAATTATCCATCCTGTGAGGGGGCAGGATTATCTGTCCTGTATGAAGCATGGGATTATCTACATTCCAGACAATTATTGCACTGCTTTTTTCTGTGCAGAAATAATATATGATTTATTTTCTTTTACAATGTAAGAATTTCTTATTATACCTTGCTTTAATTTCTTTAATGGTAGTACTAGTTATAAACAATAGGATTTTTATTTTGCCTTCCCATCATGTCCTCTGATAAAAAAAAAGAATTCTTTCAAAACTACTACTCCTTCACGCATTGAAAATTAACAATAAATTAGCAGTACAACTTAAGTTCGGCTTCTGGTTCTGAGGGTTTGCTGGATATTAGGGCTCCAAATTTGAATCTTTTAACCAGCAGAATCCTTCAAATCCAGGATTCTCATATCCAAGTTTACATTTCTTGGGGATTTTCTGGATTCTTGCAATCTGGACAACACTCACAAATGGGAACTGAATTTGATACAGAACCTGTAGTTCTTTAGCTAAATCCTTTAACAGTAAATGCAACAACAATCAACTGAATGTAGTAAATAAGATGAATACAATGAGAAACAAGGTTGACTAGTTTCCACTATAACTAATGACTACTTCCATACTATCAAAGCTGAAATTGATGCCTCTACTTACTAACAGCTGCATAACATGATGTCACTCTTATAGAATTCTATACCTTTCTGGTCTACTTCTAATGGTGTCATAGAGTGCATGAATGTTATTCTAACTTCGTATCCTGCTGAACTCTTTCGGTAACTGTTTGTGGTGTAATCAACAATAATATAGTGTAATTCTTGATAATGTATAATTCATCAGAAATGACAGACTTAAATTAATTATATAATTATTTTTAGAACCTATGTCACTTCAGACTGTTAAATATACAGTAATTAAATATCTATTGACTAGTCATTACATCACAAGAGACAAGAATAAAGCCAAAAATAAAATTAAATATTAAAGAAAATGCTAAATTTTAAATTTTGTAAGTACTGATTAGCACTGCATCACATTGAAGGCAATAATGTTCAAGGTCGTAATCAATAACATCAAATGTGTGTTTATCTTCCCACAGTACCAACTCTTCTCCAGCAAGTCGTAAGCCCAAGCTCAAAGCCCAAGAAAAGATGTGAATGCCCACTGTGTATCACCAGTGTTCAACACGAGGCTTACACATCATTGTTCCATGAGGCTCTTCATGCTCATTGGGTGGCAAAATACTGCATTTTAAAACCATTGCCACCATTGACTGAATTCTCTTCCCTATTGGCCAATAAGTTTTATTCTTTGGTTGCTACCAGCACTGCATCATGAACTGATCAGTAGGATGCACACATCTTTGTTGACATGTGATTAATTGACGTAAGTCTGATTACTGCTGTGATTTGGTTATTGTCGAAAATGCTCAATCCCACCATTAAGCTTGGCACAAACTGGTCTTAGCAAGTAAAAATGGTTGGTAGGAGTTGACTTGTAAATAATCCCAAGTGTTTTGTCTAGCAGGATAGCTTTTACTGTGGCACAGATTGAACAATCTTTCACTCACATCTGTATCTCTGGTGGTGTGGTGCATGTTACTCTAGCCCTTCTCATATAGCGATATAATTCAGAGGAGATTTTTGTTTCCCCTATCCTTGTGTTTTATCCTCATCATTTCCAAGAGATATTTACTTTGTAGATAAAATGATTAAAATATACAAGGCATTAAATGTCATGACAGATTAACTCCTTACAGTAACATCTACATTATTTTCATACTAGTCTAATAATTCTTGCCTAACTTTAGTGTATTTGCTAGAAAAACCGCCAGTGTTTGGCAGTAGAGAATGTCTTTCAATATTCTGTGTTTCTCTGGGGCCACTACCTCCTATTCTTGCCAATATACATATCCTAATTAAAACACAGTATAGTACCTAGACTACTCAAATATCAAGTGTAAGGAAATGCCTGCAAGTCCCATTCATCCTACCAGTTTATTCCAAATTTTGTACACAGCAAAAAACTCTTATTCAAGCAGCAGGTACATACTGCAGAGCAGCCTCTTCCTCCTCCTCCTCCTCTGCACTACAGTAATGTTCGTACAGTGTCGAGAAATGCTAATTATTATTATATTCATTGGAAAGTGCTAAATGTGTAGTGGTCATACAATGCCTAGGAAATGAGAGGCAATAAGGTTCAATCCAAGAAAGAGGGTAGTAACTCCAGTTTCCTGGATCAAGAGTCTTTCACCAGTATCAAGCCACTCCCCTTTGAGGAATACTAATACATACACTAAATGTTATTCCATTTGAGGCATGTTCTCAGACAACTTAGCTTTACTGAACAATTCAAATAACAATGAATTATTTTTACAAACAGGTCTATGCAGTACTTTAACTATATTGACATAAGCAAAAAATCTTAAAAAATATTTAAGAACTAAGAGCCAGATATATAAAATTCTGAACCAAATAGTGATTATTTAATTTATGATACATCCAGTATTCAAGACAATTATTTAATGTGGTAACTGTAATAGATACCACAACATACAACACCCACAAGCATTTAAGAATTAAACCAATTTCACTAATGATAATTATAATTATATTAAAAGAAGCATTAAACCCATGAGGTTATAAAGCAGCTTGTATATTTCGATTTTGAGATCTAGGCTTTCATTAGCCCTTGTTACCATATGCACTCTTTCACTATACAAATTTTCAAATTACAATCAACTAATACTTAAAACTACAACCTAACAAATAATGCTGATCAAAAGCATAAAAAATACAAGACTGCCTGTGTTGCAATATTGAGGTAGAGGATATGCATGCATGTTTTTTAAACTTGCAAAACAAGTACTGTACTTGTATCATACTGAAATAATTATTATTATTATTATTATTATTATTATTATAATCATTAAAGTATTATGAAGTAATGTCAGTATACCATGAGCATACATGTTACTGACATGTATGCTCATGGTATACAAAATTAGGCTGTTATTGCAAAGTAGTCACTATAATGCTAAAAGCAGATAACTCAACCAACAGGCGTGTTGATGAACAACTTGCACAAAACCTAATTGTATATGATTTACAACCGGCAGTATTGTAGGCTCATTACACAATGTCCAAATATAAATTTCTAACAACTCCACTGCTCATCACATTTAATTTAGTCATGAACATTTATGTATCCTCTTAAACATACTTGCTACTGATTACTCAGCAGTGCATGAGCAGGTTTTCACAACCATAAAAGTCATGTGTGTTTCAAATTTTTTAAATGGCAATGTATGCTCTGTCTAGATTTCTTCAAGATTTGTAAAAGTCTCTTGCGTTAACTCTGGGAATATTACTAACTTTAGCTATGATACAAAGATCGCTGCCAAAAATAGGATCAGCACTGAGATGTACTTATACAAATAGGGTTAGCATCGAGACAAAAATTGGGTCAGTATTAAGACTCGATCTAAATGAATATGTTATGGTTTTGAATAAGAGTAAAAACTTATTAATGAGTACAGTATTGCAGAATCCATAAATATTTCTCAGGACTTCCTGTTTCTCCTGTTAAGGTGTTCACTATTGTAAGTCTACTGTATATGAAAGATAAACTTATCTAATAACTATTTATTTTTGTTTTTGGCTGAAAGGAACAAATATCTTCATGCTGTGCCATAAACCTCACACCACTAGACTTGTGGCTTTGCACCGCACGAGGGAATCTAGTTTGTGAGGCAATGTCTTCCTCGCCTCCGAGTCACCTTATTAGAAGGACGTACAAGTCTATTAGCATAGCTACCATCTTTACTCTTGACCATGTACACCAGAGTGTATAGAATCAACTGTGTCCTATTTGCTTTAATGCAAAAAAGACATTTTTAGCTTATTGAATAGTACATATACAACTAGGTCTTGATTATTGCGAATAACGAATCCTGTGAGGTGGTCGCATTATTAGAATTTGCACTATTCAAGCTATAATTATATGTAAAATAAATATTGATTGACAAGAATGGTGAACATTTTTGATTGCATCTGTGATGTTATAAATTTTCCAGAAGGCAGTGAAGGAAATTGAATTGTCGCCTGTAGTTTTATCAATTGCAATATCAAAAATTTTTCTTAGGTAGTTGGCCTTAAATGCTGCAATGGTTCCTTGGTCCATGGACTGCAATAAAAATGTGTTTGGTGGCAAAAGAAATAACTTTTACATTCTCACCAAGTGTCACTGGATGACCTGGAGCAGTATCCAATATCAGTAATGCTTTGAACACAATATTGTTGTCCTTGCAATATTTTTCAATGGCTTTGCAAAAAATAACTTTAAAATCAGTCTTGGAAAACAGTGAGTCACCCATGCTTTCTTATTTGACTGCCAAAGAACTGGAAGTGATACATGGTTGCAACTTCTCAGAGCACAAGAATTTGGAGACAGATAAACAAGCAATGTTTATATTTTAAAATCCCCTTCTGCATTACCTCCCAATAAAAGTTGTGATCTCTAGACACTAAATCCAGGGTGAGTTTTTTCTTTTTAAAAATGTAAGCTCTGGAAGGCATCCATTACCAGAACAAGGCTGTTTTGTCCACGTTGAAAATTTGGTGATCAGTGTATCCTTTACCTTCAATTATTTTCTTCATTTTTTTTCCCAAAACTTGAAGAGTTTGGGAAAAATAATTTCTTCTTCTTCTTATGACCAGAGCTTTGGTAAGATGGGTAAGGAAGAAGGATGGGTAAGGATAGAAATATTGGGAGGGGGAATGAGGTAGGATATAAAAGGTAAGTGGCCCAACCACTTTGGGAAAAATAATTGCATTAATTAAATTTTGGCTCTCATTAAATGCAACCTGGTATCATTTAATAATTTGCACTACAGCAAAATTCGTACTATTCGAACTCGCACTAATTGCGACCTAGCTGTATAAAAAAGTTGCTTGTAATTTTATTAGTACAGTATAGGTCAAAGAAAGTAGTGACTAGATGGAATATAGGACAGTGCATATACTGTATAAGATGGTGGCTATGTAATATAGGATTCAGTGCATAGTACTAAAAACATTCATACTTTAATAATAAGTACATATACAGATAAAAGATTTTTCTTCTCTAATATTAGATAGACTATTCAGTTAAATTTACATTTTATGACAGAATTTGGTGCTGAGGTAAGAATGTTTTTACTTTGTGATTATAAATTATAGTGTCTTCTCTGGGATAGTACATTGTAAGGGGATGTGCAGTACATCCAATGTTATTATTATACTTACTATTGCTACAACCTATACAGATTTCAGTACTACTACTAGTACCACCATAGTAAAACTAGTATGTATAATGTTATTATAATTTCCATTCATCTAATATACATACTGCTATTTTATTTTCTACTACTAAAGCTACCACCTTTTCCATTTATCTAATACACATGTACTGTTGTTTCTTGATCTTTTAATGTTGTTTGTACTACAACTCAAGCATTTAACTTGCCACCAAATACATATATAAAACACGCATCTGTGGTTCTCGGTAGTGCAAAACCTTTGACTGTGGTTTTTAGTGCAAAAGAATGGAATTGAAGGGTTGTGTGAAATAATATAAGTCATAGTAAACAAATACCACGATTTATATTATTAATTAAATTATGTAAGCAGACTGCATGCGTAAGCAAATGAAGGCAGGAAAAGGCCACAGCTAGTACAGTATTTGAGAAGATTGTGCTTCTGGCTTGCACAAGCATTGTCCATAGTACAGTACAGTAGTGATTGGTAGAGCAACTCTTTATTTAAATTTTGTTTTGTTCTAGGCAGAGCTTTATCAAGTCTGTGCCTTTATAAAGCTCTGTGGCAAGTCTTGCCTCTCAAGCTGTGTGTAGTGGTGAGAACGGATGTACTACTTCAAATAATAATAGAAATGGTAAACATAATTTTTGGCACTGTAGTAATAGTATTACTACTAGTTCTAGTACTGTACTGCATTGTTAGTATTAATCTATGTACTGTGCTACAGTATTAAAAGTAGTATTAATAGTAACAACCCCACTAGTGTTGCTAGGACAGCAGGAGGGGCTAGTATAGTACTACTACAGTGCTACATACTAGTACATGTAACCAATAGTACTTTCATTACTTATATTATCAATGCCATATATAATAATACAGGTATTTTCATTACTTGTATTACTAGAGCTATTTGTAATAAAGCAGCTACCTTGAGAATACTGTACTGTTACAGTACTAGTGCAATACAATTATTTCTTTAAAATAATGCAACTCTTGTGACTATCACTGCCTCTTTGCAGTTGATATCACTGCTAATACAATTCCTGGTATTAGTACAGTATTACTACAACAGGCGAGCACCATGTTCCAGGACTCATCAGGACCAGGAGCTGTCTTAGTTCCACAAATAAATGATCAGTGTTAATAATTCATTTTTACTGTGCCCAAACAATTTTTTCTTTTATACTTTTGTACACTTTCAGTTATTAACTGCATTAATATCTTTAAGTTTTGCCCAAATCACTGAGCAAATGGGCCTTGCAAAAATAAAATATATTGTAAACTATTCATTGTGCATCACATCTATGATTGTAAAATATTTTTTGCAAATAAAATTTACTTATTTTTTTGTGTTTGTATAATATGGTACGGCACTGTTGACTCTTCAGTTTTGTACTCCATCATGAACTTGGCAACAACCTACAATTTTTTAAATATATTACTGCTAGTTTCTACTCAATGACAAATTTTTCATCCTACCTAAAACATGTTTTGCAAACATTATTTTTTTATTTAATGTTTGTTTAATACGTTTAAGAAGCATGTGTGCCAAACGCTGTCACAGTCACCTGCGGAGTAGTTATGGTTATTGCTGTAATAAGTTCAAGGTCTATGCAGTATAAAGGTAGGATAAAATGTATATCATACCTCTTAACAAGCTTGCAAAGAGTTAAAACCCAGGTTCAACACAAGCTGTCTTGCATTCCCCAACCCACAGTCTTAAAAACACAAACACTATAGAACGCCATTACTGCACCTCACTCAGAGTCTATGCTTTTACCTGAACCTTCGTTTTTCAACTCCGTGCTGTAATGGAGAAAAACAATCTAGTCCAAAGTGTCTTAGGAATATGGTTCTCGAATGTACTGCATTTAGTTCCTACGCCTTTTTCTTATTAATCCACATCTACGGGTTTCATTGCTACAGCTGTTACAATAACCACCTCATATTTTGCTCTCAGTGCTACAGCTGTTATAATAATCATGACCATAATTTTTATCCAAGAAGATACTTTTGTATTACAGCTATCTTACTATGTCATTATCAGTGCCACTACTATTCTGATTTATTACTAATGGTGTCATTATCAGTGCCACTACTATTTTGATTTATTACTAATGGTGCCATTATCAGTGCCCCTACCATTCTGAGAAATTAATGGTGTCATTATCAGTGTCATTGCCATTGTGATTTATTACTACTGTTACTCTAATTATATCAGTACCATTATTTCTATTGCTACCCTGTATAATTACTGTACTACTACTACTGCAACTGTTACTTTGAATATCATTATATCCATGGTGATACACTATACCCACAAAGTTTACCTATAGGCTAGTTCTAATTCCAATCATCAAGAGCCCATTACCGGCATCAAGACACCCTCCTTGAAGGGAGTTGGATTATATAAAGATTTAATTGAATGCCGCTGTTAGACCAAGTTGCTGTCACCTTATAGTCGCTCTTTTTAACTTAAGCATTTATAATTTTGTTTTTCCAGTTCAAAACTATCCTTGGAGGTACTGAAACACGTAGTTTTAGAGAGATTTTATAAAATCTAAATGTTGTATTACTGTCAAATGATGTATTCCTTAAGATTTTCGCTACACTGTTTGTAATTCTTAACACATCTTAAATAAGTTTTCTTAACTTGCTGTGAGTATACAGAAATAAATTACACATATATAAATACAGAATATACACAGGCAATATTATGCTGCACAGTATATAAATTATCATTTGTTCTATAGATTTTTTATTATAATTATTATTAATTTTACTCTGTTATTAATACTGAAACTATTCATACATGCTGTAATTATTATTATTCTTATTCTTATTATTATTAACCATTCAACTGGCAAGTAGGGTAACATGACTTTCCTGAATTGGCAAATTTCTTTGACGAATTAAAAAAAAACTCAAGTGATTGTAGAGCACTGAAACCTGAATATAAAAACAATCTCACTTGGCATTTTTTTTTTCAACGAACCAGCTGTATCCCACCGAGACAGGGTCTAAAAAGAAAAACAAAAGTTTTTTTCCTTTTACATTTAGTAATTTATACAGGAGAAGGGGTTACTGGCCCCTTGCTCCTGGCATTTTAGTCACCTCTTATGACATGCATGGCTTATGGAAAAAAAATTATTTTCCACTTCCCCATAGAGAAGCACCTTAAATATACTAATATATTGCAATATCCATAAACTATTAATTAGTGCTTTATACATATTGAACTTTTATTACGATATTCTTGGAAAAGTCTCTAAATCCAGAGGAATCATACAATGGCTGGGAAATGAATAGCAGTTGGGTTTGATTGATCGGTAGCTCTCAGTTCCTTGAAGCTACTGTACCCTGTACTTAATACCTGGATCCCTTCAAAGGTTAGGAGGTTTATTTAGGTACTTGTACACACAACTACAATTATCATACCTAGTAACATGTGTGTGTAAATTATCTAGGAAAATCCCCAAAAAGTCCAAGTGACTTATTTACATTGGGGTCACAAGAATTAAATACAGTATACACCTTATAAAGTGACAACATAAAAAAACAAATCTATTTCCTTAAAGACTTGCACTCATTACAAAAAATAAGTGGCAGGAGTTTGAAGCTTAACATAAAACTATTGATAAAGCAAGAGCATTTCAGGCATAATAAGAATAAACCTTAACGTGATTACAAGAGTGCTTTTGCATTTACACTTCGTAAATGTGGAAGCATCAAGTTACATGCAAATCTTGGTAGCCAGTGCTGATACACAGCTCCTCACCTTCCCCACTGCCACTAGAAATGTATTACAGAACAGCTGAGCACTCAGTACAACCATCAACTGCTGAGAATTTGCATCCACATGAATTTGCAGCCATCTCAATCCAATGGGGCCACATCAACCCTCTCCATGCACATCCATGGCAGCTAGAAAAAGTGTAGTAATTTAAGCCTAGTAAAATATTAAAAAAAAATTGTTTGGTAAATATGGAGGTCTCTGAAACATAATACTATTTTTCCATGTTCTTCACTCTGCATACCAAATAATTTATGGGACTCAAAATGAGCCCACTATGATTTGTTTTTGCATGTATGGTTTGCCAGGTTGCCCACCTCAACACACATAAACATTGTGATCAGTTGCGTATCGAGATGTATGTAAACCACTACGCACATTTACTTACCCAGATTCACATAAACATTATGCCCAGTTTAATGGTTAATATATTTCAGCACTATTATCATTATTACAGTATTGAGTATTAAGTACATTACTAATAATATACTTTTATTACTATATTTATACATATAAATAGCCTCTTATTTATGCCTTCCATATAGAGAAGGAATATACATGTACTTCATCATTACTTCACTAGTGTTACTGCAACACATGTTATTCTTATCTATGACCAATTCAACTACATGTTGAACTGTAGGAGGTAGCACTCTTGTTCCTGAATCCTATTATCTATTGCCTTTCATAAATATAGAGCCCTGTGTAATATAAAACTAAACTATGTAAAAACTAGTGTAACACCTATACTACTATGTTCATTTTGAGATGTCATAAAATGTTCTTTAAAGACTGAGGTTCGAGTATTCAACCCTACCTCCCCTTCCCAAAATTAGGTTATGTGAATGTTTTGCTCTTTTGAGATTATAAAAAATATTGATTTGCAATTGCTGAAACTGAAAGGTGTATGAATGGTCATAGTTATTCCTTTCTAATTAGTAGAAATATCACACAAGCCCTTGATAAACTGGATCCAAAATTTGTATTAGTAATCTATTAAACAGACTTTTGTCTCTTACATAAATATAGCCTCTTCTTCATTTGCTGATCCATTCTTTTGCAATATACAGTACAGTATATACTGCATATAGTAATTTCAGCATCTGTACCATATAGAAAACAACTGTGCCCACATTTAAAGCCGTTCATACTAGAAATTCAATTCTGAAGGAGCTTGGAGGCTGAAAATCATTAACACAAGATCAACCAGCTTTTATTTAGTAATGAGCAATAAAGGTCATTACTCAGACTGCAAACTGGAGTTGCAGATTTTTTGTCTGCAATATTATTTACTAACTCTGAAGATGATTTGGTGTATTTGTTTGATACAGAAAATGTGTTTGCAATGTCACTCTGTACCCTTTCTGTCATCATTAATATGACAGAACTGAAAGACTTTCTTTTTTTCAATTGACAGTGGAACTTCCCATATTTCTTCACCAATTGAAGAAATAAGATTATACTTAGATTTATTTGGAACCAAATCCAATATATTATATGACTAGCTTAAGGTATAATTAAAATACGCAGTTTAGAATTAATGGAAATTAATTCTGATAAAAATTGTGCAGAGGGATCAAGTGTTACAAAATCTGTTATATATTTATTAATGAAGATATGTAATTTCAAACAATTTTTATGATATAATATTAAGAATGTAACAAGATATGTACTTATCTTAATGTGGCAAAATTCAGGATTAGGTCTTCTAGCTAGACTAAAATAGGTGACTAATACATGTATGTATTTACAAAAGCAAGTGAGAGTCATCTTATAAATTAATGTGATAATATTTGTGATTTAATTTAGATTTTATAATAATTTTTGATGGAATAAGTCTATTGAATATTATTGTCTAATTGTATATTAGCTGTTGCAAGCTGTGAAACACAATGGACTCGTTTATATATACGTATATACATGTAAATATACAGTATATATAGATTTTTACAATAAGACTCAAAATAGGGAGTCACTGGCATAATATTTGCCATTTGGAGGGACATCTGAACTGTAGTATTGGCACATCTCTGGCAATACAGTGATGGAGTAAGTGATGGTAAAGTGTTTCTTCTTTTTTGGGTCGCCCTGCCTTGGTGGGAAACAGCCGATGTTAAAAAAAACTGACAACAGATACAAAAATGACTGTTACTTTTTGACACTGTAACTAGTTTGAGAGTATAAATTATTTGATAGAACAATGTCTGGCTGTAGTGTCCATACAGGAACTTTGTAAAATATACTGACCTGCCACCCCTACACCCCATATATCACAAAAAAGTACATGTATAGGCCAATTCTCAAGCTTTATCAAGTCTTTATACAGGACTTAAAAACCTCACAACTGTCTGGAATGCAGCATTATATCAAGGGTCTTGAAAAAGTTGTTACAATAGTGATAGCTTCAAAAACCTTACAACTGCACATAATATCAGTGCAGGATATTAATCTTACCTGCCAGGGTCAGAGTGCACTGCCACTATCTTGTGTACATATTAAGCTTTGGATAGGACATCTCTATTAAGTTCATACTGATGTCTTGGCTCTATCTGGAGAAATCAAATATCCAGCATTAGTTCCATATATGAGCATATGTACAGATCCAAGCTTGATTATAACTATATTTCTATGAAGTGATAAACCTCTGTGGGTCATTTAATATAAAGAGTGGGTCGCTCAAGCCTCTGTCTGCTAAATGCAAGTTATGCTTCCCCATTAGAACAAGGATTAATTAAACAAACTAGTATCTCTTTCTGCAGTTCACAAAATATAATTTACATTTAATAAAATATTCTTAAGCACTGTGCATTAAAAATCCACCTGGATTAATAAGGTTGTATCAGATTAAACCTAAGTATTTCTTAACATATAAACTTTTAACAGTTTTCTAGACCACTTGTAATACATGTATACTGATTACACTATAGCTGTGTACAGTAAAAGCAGACATTAAAATAGTATAATACAAAATATGAACCGATTCTCTAGAAATTTACTACCAAAGAAATGCGATCGCTAGTCTAGCAAGAATGATAAACATTGTTTTAGTGTGCTCAACTGTTTTTAATACATACTGACAAACAATGAAAAATGAATGACATTAAGAAAACTTCTACGGCATGAGATGCTTGTTGTAGAGAAATAGAAGAAAAGTGTGTGACAAGGTGCAAGCAAAAATGGTTTACAAATTAAAACAAAAACCAAATCAATCAACAGGAAGTTATGGACCAAAGTGCATAAGATCAACACTCACAAACATTAAGTAAATTATGCAAGCAAAATGCTACAAGCACAAATAAAATATACAAAAATACTATAATACCAAGATAAAATAACCAGCATAAAAATCCTGTTAAACTGTTAATGTCAAAAGACTCCTGAAAATTCCCTGAGATCCCTACAAGCATCCCAGCAATGATAAAAATCATGACATAAGCATAAAGGCCCAAGTCATGGGTAAACATTAAAAAAAAGTTCTGTGATCAGCTGCAAGTCACAAGCCACACAGGGAGAAAGCTGGAACACCTGCAAAATGTTGAAGGAGGGTCAAACACCCACATTCTGGCAAACCCTGCATGACTTGATTGTCATCTGTGGGGCCCACCTAGCCTGCCATTTACCAAGGACAATATCTACAATATTTATGTGGCTCATGAAGTCACTGTAAGGCTGAAATCTGCTATACAACAAGATCATTACAGCAGGCTTCACCTGGGCATTGGCTCGTTTATTTACCACGACACCAACACAATGCCACATCCTTGTGCTGAGATTGGAGACGGGCTAACCACACCTGACTTTTCAACCACAGGGTGCACATAAGCATATTGGACCTGGGCAAACAAAGTTCAATGGGAATCACAATAAACGGTGAAAAAAGATTCAAATAAACCAGTTATCAGGAGAAGAGCAGCAAGGATTGCCTTGAGTTCCACAGTAAACACAAGAGGTTTTCTCTGGCAACTGTGCACAATACAAATCCTCAAAGATGATCATTGTAAAATTACCACTACCCTCACTCTTTGATCTGTGAATAAAGAAATTTATCATCTCTGAAGCATGAATAAAAGCATGCCTTAAGAAATCTTTGAAGCTTAGACACCTAAGGGACCCCATCCACTAATTATAAAATGTGCCTCAGTCACTGTTCAACAAGAGCAGATAGAAGCCAGCCTCTCTGACTGCAGACACAATCCAGGAGCAGCCAGCATCTGAACAAATCTCTAATCTGTAGGATAGATATAAATTGTTTCAACCATGGTACTGAGATTCATTTTTCTTCTTCATTTATCATCAGGATTCACTAGCAGCAGCCTGAAGAGTTTGAATTTGTCAATTACATTCAGGATTTCGAACTCTACAATAAGGACAGGGTTATACATACAGCAGTCTATGCATGAGCTACTTCTCGTAATCGTCACCAGCAGAGTCACAAATTTCCCATTACGACAGGTTAACAAAATATGTACCTTATGTAAACCAAACCAATCCTGTTATTCCATTAATGCTGCTGCATAATGGCATAATGGCACTGCAGTTGCTTAATAAGCACTACAAACATTTTGTGCTGTAATGACAGACACACTACATGATCAACTCATTGAAGATGCAATTCTGAGAAATTCTGTCATGTCTCTGCAGCTGCAGAGTGCATTATATGGATAAGAAACTGCAGAGACAGTTACTTAGCCATGTTGGAATTGTGCATATTTCCACTGCAATTATATATTAATTATTATCACAGTTGCAGAGTGACAATGTTGTGAGAGGATTCCCTAAAAATAAAAAAAACTATGTAGTTGTCGTCAATCACTCGACACTCACGTTTATCTATTTCTCTCGTAAATTCTATAAACATTGTTGAGGATGAAGGTGACAAGTTCACATTTTAGACAATAAACTTGATAGTTATACCACAGTATATAAAAATATCATGTAACACTGTTTACTTGGCATGGATCATTTTGCCAAGCAGAGACAAAATGCAATATTCATTATTTGCTATAATTGTGCAAAAAAGTCAAGCTGCATGTCATACAATTAATATACACTGTATTTCTTTTATGTTGAATAATATTACAGCAACTAAATTTAGGCTGACCCTACATAGGTTGTGTAAGATTCAGCAATATTATATACAGTACAGTACTGTATATAAATTAAAGCAATGTTTAGCTTTGATGCAAAATTTTTTTTAGAAATGTCCATATGGTAATTCAGATGAATATGATAAACACTTACAAAATATGAGATTACATTCCTGAAACTGATATGTGGTATAAAGTAATGTTACATATAATGAATGTAAGAAAAATAGGAGATGTCATGTCAACGAGCAATGTGTGGCGTGAATATTATGCGGAGAATTCATGGTCGGAAGATCAGGAGATGCAGGGTTACTAAAAGTATTATCCAGAGGGATGAGGAGGGGTTACTGAGGTGGTTTGGACATTTAGAGAGGATGAAGCAAAATAGGATGCCTTGGAGGGTGTATAAATCTATAGTGGAGAGAAAGGATTTTCCTAGGAAAGACTGGAGGGATGGGTAAAGGAGGTTTTTGTATGCAAGGGACTTGGACATCCAATAGACCTGTATGAATGTATTAGATTGGAGTGGAGGCAAGTGGTTTTTATGACTTGACATGCTGTTGGAGGGTAAGGTAATATTCATGAAGCAATACAGGAGTTCTAGAAGAGAAATACAGTGCCTGCACTCTGAATGAGGGGTGGGGATATTGCAATTTGGAAGGGCATCTATGATGCAATGTTGGCACACCTCTGGCAAGATGCTGATAGAGTGAATGATGGTAAAAGTGTTTCTTTTCTCAGGTCACCCTATCTCAGAGGAAGATGACCAGTGTGTTAAAAATGTATGAAAAAATAGGGATATGTTCCAGACAGATTTATCACCCATTCTTTTTTTTTACTACTGTACTAAGTAATACTACAATATAATTTACTTTATATTCTGGTAGAATGTAATTCTGTAATTTGAAGGGTGGAGGTTAGCAGTGGGCCTACTAGGCTAAGGAAGATGGTTGTGGTTCTTATGCTGATGTGAATGCAGAGTTTTCAGTATGTCGTTGAAGGGTGTCATTAACCCTTAAACGGTCCAAACGTATATAGTATACGTTTTTTTCAGCATCTGAAAGTATGTAAAAAAAATGTAGATAATCTTTTTTGTTTTACATTTGAAAATGTGTAAAAAACTTTTATCTACATTTTTTTTTTGTTATATTTGAAAATACGTAAAAAAAAGTAGATCTACTTTTGTAGCACATACGAATTTGAACATCAATCTGTTTGGACCGTTTAAGGGTTAATGGAGTGCTTAAGCATTCTGTAGTACATCTTTAGTCTGGTTTATCCTTTAATACTTTATAGAGGTGATAAGGGATCATTGTTTGCTCCAAACTCCATTTCAGACTAATGCTTCTAGACTACTCAAGATCCATAACTATGTTTATACCTTTGATACATCTCTACATGAGTTTTGAGAGCCTGGTAGTTCTTTTCAACATGTCACAATCTGCACTGTTAATTACAAGCTCTTATTTTCTGCCATTACTTCTGGCTGTATGAATGATTGATTATTTCATACCAAAAGTATATGCAATGGCCATCAAAGGTGCTCCACCTCTAAACATATCTAAAGCTTCCTTTTTCTTCAAAACCAAAATAGATCATGATTTTTTTTGGGGGGGGGGGGGGAGGGGGGGGCACCTTTGGCATCACTAGTACAGTGGAACCTCAAATATCGAACTTTCTTCGGTCCAGAAAGCTGTTCGAGTGCCTTTACCGAATGAATTTATTCCCATCAGGAATAATGTAAATTAGATTAGTCCATTTCAGACCCTCAAAAATACACTTATAAAAGCACTTACAAAAATACACTTACATAATTGGTCGTGTTGGGAGCAGTTCGATTTTTGAGGTTCCACTGTACATACTTCTGTGTCATGAGTGTCCCGTAGCTCAATTGCTAGAGCACTCAGCTCACACATTGAGGTCCAGAGTTCGAATCTCCAGTACGGCTGGAAAACATTAGGGACGTGTTTCCATAAGACACCTGCTGTCCCTGTTCACCCATCAGTATAAAATGGGTACCTGGGTGTTAGTCGACTGGTGTGGGTCACATCCTGAGATAAAACCGACCTAATCTGCCTGAAACGCTCAGCATAACAAGTGGCTTTCTATATAGCAGTATTTCACTGATGTCAGCTAGGCCTGTATACCTTGTACATGTACTTGTAGAAATAAAGATATTATATTATTAATATTATTATGGTTAATACACCTACCATCCAACTTACGGCCTGCTCGATTTACGACCACTCGACTTACGACCGTGTTTTTTATGCCAAATTTCTGGGAAATAAACAACTATTTGTGTTGTACACAGTGTTTATCCTAAACCTTACAGTATAAAATACGGTGCTAACAACATAAAAAGTAAAGTAAAACATGAAATACCAAACTAAAACAATAAAATAAAGTCATTACAAAAATGTTTTGTTGATATTCAGTAGTAAAGTTCGACTTGCGACCAT